CACTGTCCGCTTATTTGTTCTTGTATGGATCAACACACATGAAATCAGACTTTTCTGATGCATACAATCAGACATGAAAATCTCCAAGTTGTCCTCTTATTTGTCATTACTAGTATTTAGACCCGTGCAAAGCACGATTTCCAAAAGATTTTCTACAAATATTGAACATCTTACGAAAATAAAGTATTCTGCTTTAGATATGAAGTATAGTGATGGAAGTGAACCGAATAATTAATAAACTGTTCGGTTATTATTCGTCCAAATATTCGCAGAAGTTTATTTCGATAGTTCATTTAGTACTAAACAAATAATTTTTAGTGTTCGGCTTATAAATGAATAGAATCTAACCAAATGTATGTTCGATTTGGTAGTTTATTAACAATTCGATTCGATAACTTTTTAATAGAATTTAACCAAATGTATGTTTGATTCTAATAATGCATGTTATATATGTGTTTGCTTATTAATCATGAAACTAATGAGAAAGTTATAAAGTATTATCTACAGATCTAATCCAAGGAACTCAACTTCAGAGAAATAAATTGAGACAACATTTGTCCTGTGCATTACGATTTGGCCTAATTGTGTGCCAGCATCACATAAAAAAAAGGAGTTGAAGATTTTGTTTTTGTTTTTTTTTTTCATTAAGAGCAGTAGTGTACATGTACATCTACAAATGAGAATTACATGTCCCGGAGGAATATTTGACCCTGGAGGCGGTTGCATATATACGGTCTCTGATAAAGAGCCATGAAGAAAAGCATTTTTGACATCCATCTGGTATAAGGGCCAACGATGAGCAGCAGCGACCGCAAGGAGAGTACGCACAGTGGGCATCTGAGCAACAGGAGCAAAGGTCTCCTCATAATCAATACCTTGTTGCTGAGTAAAACCTCTAGCCACTAAACGAGCTTTTCGACGTTCAATGGTGCCATCAGGACGAAACTTGACCTTATAAACCCATTTACTGCCAACAAGAGAGATCCCAGGAGGACAGGGAACAATATCCCAGGTATGAGTTTGCTGAAATGCTTGAAATTCCTCAGCCATAGCTTGTCGCCACTCTGGAATTTGAACTGCCTCTTGGAAGGACTTTGGCTCAACAATAGTATGAATGGCAGCAAGAAAGTTATGAAAGATAGGTGAATAAGAAGTAACAGAAGCATACCGGGCAGGCATGACATGTGGGCGTTTGCCTCGACGAAGAGCAAGAGGAACCTCAGGCGGGGGAGATGCTGGCGCAGGTGCATGAAGATCAACAGTATTTTCTGGAGTGAGAGTTGTGTCCACAGGATATGGATTAGATGGTGTAAGAGAAGACTCAGGTGAGGAAGAGTCAACAGAAGGAGAGGGAGAGATGTCAGGGAGATCTCGAAAGGAAAATTGAGGTGAAGAAGTGGGTGATGCAGTGGACGGGGAAGCATGATCGGTAGAGTGGAGGAAATTAAAGTCATCAGAAGTAGAATAATATGGAGAATCCTCTTCGAACTGAACATGACGAGATATATGAACTCGACGAGTTGCGGGATCATAACAACGATAACCTCGATGTTCTGAACTAATTCCTAAATAAACACAAGAAACTGCTCTGGGAGACAATTTATCACGTTCGTGAGATGGCAGAAAAACAAAACATCGACAACCAAAAACGCGAACTAGATCATAACGGGGAGGATGAGTATAAACACGACTATAAGGAGTAGCACCGGAAAGAGAGCTAGATGGAGTGATATTAATGGCATGAGTCGCGGTGAGAATAGCCTCAGCCCAGAAACGACGAGGAACAGAGTAAGAAATGAGCATTGATCGGGCAGTATCGAGGATATGACGATGTTTGCGTTCAGCAACACCATTTTGCTCATGAGTGTAGGGACATGACTGTTGAAAGATAGTCCCATGAGAGGACATGATAGAGCGCATGGCAGAGGATAGGTACTCTTTGGCACAATCAGAACGAAAAACTTTAATACGAGATTGCCATTGAGTGAAAATCATAGCAGTGAAGGCTTGATAAGCAGTAAGTACGTCAGAGCGATTCTTAAGTAGGTAAACCCATGTAAAACGAGAGAAATCGTCGATAAAACTAACATAATATAAGTAGCCAGATGAAGAAGGCAAAGGAGCTGGCCCCCAAATATCAGAATGTACTAAATCAAATAAGGAAGTGGATACAGATGTACTCATTTTAAATGGTAAAGCAGTGAATTTAGCCAATTTGCAACCAGCACATGACTCAATACTAGAACTAGATGATACAGGACCAAGTACTCCAGACTGAATAAGACTCTCCAGCCTTTTATTACACACATGACCAAGTCGTCTATGCCATAAATTGGCAGGAAGCGAGGTAGAGGGTTTTGACGAACAAAGAGAAGCAACAAGAGAACGTGGACGTATGGACTCTGGAAGGTGAAGATATTCCAGAAAATACAGTTTGTGCCTCCTACGACCCGCCCCAACCGTCTTGCCCGTCTGTGGATCCTGCACAATACAAGTATCAGAAGAAAATGAGACAAACAGGCCCGCCATGCATAAAGAGCTAATAGAAATTAAATTCAAGCACAATTGTGGAGCCACATAGACGGGACCAAGTGTTAGACGACCAGATGGATCATTTTGTGGGGTAATAGAGCCATACTGAGTAATGGACAATGGTTGTCCAGCAGCTGTGTAGATAGGAGGAAGAGAGGATGAAGTAAAGACAGAGGATAAAAGTGAGGCATTACAAGTCATATGAAAGGAACAACCAGAGTCAAAAATCCAGAGATCATTCATACCAGAGACTGAAGGATTAGCTGAAGAACCAGCAAAATGCATACCAGAGAGTTGTGCGGCGGATGTAGAGGTGATATGTTGAAAAGCATCAAGTTGACGGCGAAGACTTTCAATAGCTTGAATAGTAGAGTCTGAAGTAGTAGAAGGTATAGCATTGGCCAACAATCCTGGTGTACGAGAGGGTTGAGACTGAGGGGGTCGCCGACCACGTCCAGTACCTGAGGAACGTAACTCAGGATGAAGCTTGAAGCATGTCTCAATGCGGTGTCCTTCCTTCTTACAATATTTGCAAGAGAGCTTAGATCGAGCCTGTGGAGAGGGAGCCTGTGGAGAAGTATAATTCATAACAGGAGCAGTGACAGGTACAGACAAAACAGTCTCGAGTGAAGAGGTAGGAGTGTCTGTTGACAAATTGAGTCGTGCTGTCTGCTGCCGGGTCTCATAAGCAGTGAGAGCTCCCATAACTGAGGCCAAAGTCGGAAATTGAGGCTGGTGAAGTAGTTGATCAGCCATAGTTGAATATTCAGGAAGGGACTGAAACAATTGATGCACCTCATGCCGTTCGTACCAGGCTAGCCAGTCTTCATATGTGGAATTACGTCCAGGAAGCATGGAGCGTAACTCTGTCCAAAAAGCTTGCATTTGTCCAAAATGGGACTGCAGAGATGAACTACCTTTGCGTTGTAGAGAAATGCGTTGCAGAAGATATGCCTCCCGTGCACCCGAGCACTCAGTGAAACGCTCAGTGAGACGAGTCCACATGGCCTGAGCAGAGGGAAGCGAGCCAATCTCGACAGTGAGACCAGAGCCAACACAGCGAGTGAGATAATCCATAACACGAAATTCCTGCAATTGCCACTCTGAACTCTCCTTGACATAGAGAGCACGAGCAGTCTGAAGATCGACATCACCACTGCCAGAGGCAATAGTACTGGATGAAGCAACAGTGCTGATGGACGGTGGAACTGGTCCCGTACTGGTGAGATGATCAAGCAAACCAGCGCCACGCAAGGCATTGGTGACAATGGTGGACCACCCTGCCCAGTCACTTTGATCATTGAGGGGCAAAGGTGGTTTGGGAATCTTCTCTGAAGGAGCCATAACAGCAATCTTGAGACGTTAAGATGTCGAGATGCTGTTACTAATGTCGTTCGTTTGAGGCCGAGAGACGGCTTGAAACGACGATGCCGTTAATTTGAGACCGAGAGACGGTCTTGAAACGACAATGCCGTTAAAATAGAACCCGAAGGTTAGAATGAAACCCGAAGGTTTAAAATAGAACCCGAAGGTTAGAATGAAACCCGAAGGTTTAAAATAGAACCTGAAGGTTAGAATGAAACCCGAAGGTTTAAAATAGAACCCGAAGGTTAAACGAGAACGCGAAACGCGTTAAGAGGCCGCAAAACGACAAGGCCAAAATATCTGGCAGATGAACGCCAAATAATTAAAAATAAAAATAAAAAAAAAAATAAAACATTAAACGGCTGCAAAGCAATAAGGCCAAGATTTGGCAAAAGAACGCAAAAGCGTTAAAAATTTTATTGAAAGGGAAATAGCCCTAGCTCTGATACCATGTTAAAGTAAGAGAGAGAGAGAATCTTGGGTAAATTTCCCTTGAATTGAATATTGAGTGTGCACATATATTTATACAAGTAGAGGAGTGTGAGGTTTGTTCTCCCAAGCAATGTGGGACTAAAACCCACTACAATACACTATTATCAACAAAAAATATAACCCTCAATTCTCACCAAAACTTCAGAGTTTAGGCGTGTAATGGTTAGGAATGATATTGCATCAATTTAGGTTCAAATCCTGCGAGTCACGAGTTATTTTTTGAAAATTAACACCGTTGTATGAATCTAGGCTTCGACACATAAAGAAGATCTCACGAATTAAAAGCTTGCTCTTCTAAAATAAAAAACCTCTGTGCACTTCACGCTATTCATAAAGTGCTATGAGGTTGTAATTTGGACAAACTTTCAGTCACACATACATTAGTTTTCTGAAACACGAGGAAACACCGTCAAAATAAAAATGGATTTACTGCAAAAAAATCTGTGAGAATGTTACATAGAAAGATTGAATTTGGTTGAGGAAATTACATTTTGATTGTTCTAAAAAGATAGTGGCGTATAAATTGATATACATAGTGATGTCCTTATAAATTTATATACATACTGATGTCCAAGTGTTTTGTTATTTTTAACAAGAAGGCCATACAAAAGATGAGATGGATGTTTGAGTTCAGATGTTATATATCTGTAGATACTGATGAACTATCAGCATTCAACTGTGAGCGCAATGTTGAGAATAAAAACATACTAGATAATGGAGAGAAATGGTTATTTTTTATTTTTTATTTTTTTATTTTTTGAGGGGAGAAACTGTTATTTTTTAGACCTACTAAAAGGTTGAATTTGGTATCTTACCGTGTGACAGGTCAGTTGCTTGTGTTCTAAGAGGCACAACTATGCTGGGATGTAAGTATACGGGTAAAAATTCAAATACACATACAAATTATAATTAGAATTTTGCTTCAGTTCTCCTAAGATCACTTGCTTGTTTTAGGAACGAGCACTATATTATTTATGAGATTGTGGATGTAATAACAATATGTAACACAAAAAATTATTCAACACCGCTTTTGTGGTGTATATCAGTTAGAAGTAACGGGTGTAATTTACAGTTTCTATCATTGACACATTTTTTGGAGCCTTATTTGCACTTCAACATCCCAAAATCTCTTATATACTAACATGAACTTTGACAATTGAGGAAACTCGCTAAGAGCTGACAACCCATTTTACAAAATGGTCTGCCAACCCACTGCCATGTGAACCCCAAACCGATGTGACTAACGTGGGGGCTCACATGGCTTAGGTTTGGCCGCCTATTTTGCAAAATGGACCGTCAGCTTATTTGCATTTTTCCTTAACAATTTGATACCCTAAAGTTTTTCTAGTTGACGTTACCATTTGATATCCCAAAGCCCTAACTATGCCCCGCTGTTGTCCAAGACTTGAATAAACTAATGTTTGGTAACAACATAGTCTCTCATTCGCTAAGTTGATATTTTCGAGCGAAGGTAACGTAATTTTTTTTTTTTTTGCATTTCAGGGTGTCAAATTGTCGACGTAGAACTTCAAGTTGAATGAAGGGTGAAGTTTTTGGGTATTAAGGTGCAAATTATCAGTGAGTAAGGGGCCGTGTTCTGGAACAATGCCGTCCTGGGCTGCTCCCTTGATAATAGTAATTAAGCGGGCCTTCAAAGAAAGTACATGGCAATAACTAATAAGGCCTGCTAGTCTTTTTTTATCTGGATTGAAACAACAGGCCGAATTTGGTACATAGAAATATTTTGTTCTCCCCCCATTTTTTATCATCTTCTCTTCTTGCTCTACTTTTTCACCCAAAAGGTATTTAAATAAATAAAAAAAAGAGGAAAAAGGGGGCAAAAAGATCAAAAGAGGCGGTTTTCTATCGGTACGGTCTCATTTTAACTATCTCCATCAAAAAATCCTTTAAAAAAAAAATTGAAGCCGATCCCTGGAGAATCAATGGAGGCGGCGGCATCAGCAGAGAAGAAGGAGCTAGAGAACAAATCGCTTACAAACATGCAGCGGACGATCGGGAACGCCAGGATCGAGAGCTCAAGGCTGGCCTTCATCCCTTAAAGGTCTCTCACCTTTCTTATACTTTCTCTATTGTTTGGCTTAGTATAGGTTATTAGGGTTTTTTAATGACAGAAGAGAAATGAGTTTGGTCTTTAGATGAGGTTAAGATTTGGTGAAGGAAAGAACAAATCGTATGGCAATGCAAATTTTAACAACATTATAATGGTGGATTGGGTAGGGAACTAGGGATTGATTATGGTTGAAAAGGAGGTAACTTTTTAACTAGTCTGTGTGTAATGCTACTACAATGCCATCATTATGCGGGGATTGGCTGCAAACTTTTTGTATTTTTTATTACTTCGTTAGTCTTTGTAGAGGACCGTCGACACTGTAAATTAAGGGCTGCAATTTCTCTTAACTGAAACATTTTAGGTTCTCTGATGCACATGCCTCAATCGACTGGTTCTCCTTCATATCCGTATATCAATTGAAGCTACCTTTATATTCTCAACAATGAGCTCATTACGTATCTTCTCTTTTAGTCTCGTGCCACCAATCACAATCTCATTTTGCATCAAGGGAAGGATGTGGTTCACTGGATGTTGTAAGGACAGATAGAGTGGTTACTGGTATGAGGGTGGGCATGGGCATTGTTATAACTGGCGGTAAATAGCACCGCAATAACGGTGCTGATAGTGTTAGCAACCCCTTTTGCAACACTATTGCCTAGTAGCGATGACATGTTGAGGAGTATGTGCTTTTTTCTTGCAAAAGCGGCCAATAGCGTGTCATAGCGGTGAATAGCGGGTGATTACAGGTAAAATTCACTTATTGACTGCTATTTAAAAGCATTCTTAGGTTTATTTTTTTAAATTACCCACCCAAACCCAGAATACCCAATGTTTAGGTCATTATCGATCGTTGTTTTTTCTTTCCTGGGTCTCACTCTCGCTATCCAACCCCCCCATACGATCGCTACCTCCCACCGCATCTCGTAGCTTCCCGCGACTTCGGACGTCTTCCTTCTGTTTCCCATGGCCTCTAGCACCTCTCATCAGTGCCACAACACCTCCTCTCACCTCCTCTCGCTATGAGCTCCTCCTATTGCAGTCCTCTTACCGCTCAGCTCATCTTCTTGAAGATGACGACTCTTCGACCCCCCCTCTAGTTGTCTTCGATATTATATGATAGTTACATGTCTATTTTATGTTTAGGATCTCTTTGGATCATCTAATATGCACTTTTAGATTTTCTAGATTTTTCTTTTTTTGAATTGAATATATATATATATATATATATATATATAACCGCTATTTGACTTTGCGCTTTTTACCACTATTTTGCTGCAATAGCCCTATATATAACCGCTATTTGACTTTGCGCTTTTTACCACTATTTTGCTGCAATAGCCCTATATATAACCGCTATTTGACTTTGCGCTTTTTACCACTATTTTGCTGCAATAGCCCTATATATAACCGCTATTTGACTTTGCGTTTTTTGCCACTATTTTGCTGCAATAGCCCTATATATAACCGCTATTTGACTTTGCGCTTTTAGCCACTATTTTGCTGCAATAGCCCCAAATAGCTTTAGTGGTGTCTTACCGCTGTGCGACGCTATCCACTATCGATAACCTTGGGCACGTGAGGGAGCCTTTTTTTTCTCCTCGCTTGTAATTTGTTTGATACATGAGGCTCAAGCTACCATGAAGCAAACTCCTCTCTCAACTAGGTTCCTCTCAACTTAAGTTGTAATTTAGCTGAGCAGTAGAATATATGACACAGAGAGGAATGAGCAGATACTTGAATCTTGAAGGCTAGTAAATTTCCCTCAGTTCATATATGATAAGCAAGGTACTCGTTCATATATGATAAGCAAGGTACTCGAACCTGAGATCCCTTAGTGTCTCTATAGCTTTAAGGCTGTTTTTAACGTATTGTAGGCAGTGTTTTAAATATCGGCCGACATGTCGGACATGTCGGCCGATATAGCGGATTGAGGGGTCCAACGACACAAATCGGGGAAAAACAAGTCGCATATCGTTTTTTACCGACATATCGGCCATATCGGCGAAAAATCGGCCATATCGGCCGGTTTTCTTGTTTGGAAAATCGGCCATATCGGCCGATTTTCTTGTTTTTTCTTTTTTTCTTCTTCACACGTGAATGTTTGGTTTGTGGACTATTTTGATTAATAATAGGCTAATGATTACTTGATGTTTGATCACTTGATTAATAATAGGCTAACTGATTAATAATAGGCTAATGATTATTGATTAATAAGGAGAGATTTATTTTATTTTAAATGTGCATATGAATGTTGAAATGTGCAGAGTCATGAAGTTATGAATTTAGGAATGCTTAGATAGTTAGATTACATTTAGGGCATGATATTATACATATGTGGATCACCCGATATGGCAATCCGATATTTAGTCCATGTCCCCCGATATATCCCCGATTTCCGCTATCCGACATGGATTTCAGCCGTCCGACATGAACCCGACATCCGATATTTAAAACCTTGATTGTAGGAACCTAGCCTAGGAGGTGATAACATCTATTCTGTACAAACTTTTGTTTTTTTTGGTTGAATTTAGAAGATATTACGTAGTTTGACTCGTGCTGGCATTATATGCTTGAGTAGCTAATTAAAAAGTCCATAAACACAGTCTAAGCTTTCAAATTGTTCTAATGAGTTTGTTGTGATTTGACATTTCAGAATAAATTTGTGTTTTGGTATACACGTCGAACTCCCGGAGTGAGACCGCAAACATCATATGAGGACAACATAAAGAAAATTGTAGAATTCAGTACGGTATGTTACGTTTTAAATTATGTCAGACAATAGCATACGTTGTACGCTGAATTACATATAAGATTGTGTTGTCTCCATAGGTTGAAGGGTTTTGGGTTTGCTACTGCCATCTGGCACGTCCTTCAACTTGGCCAATTCCAACTGATTTGCATCTTTTTAAAGATGGCATTCGGCCTCTCTGGGAGGTAATGTTTCGTTTAATTTGTTAGATTGTGCTAGCGGTTTCAAGTCATACTCTTTCAACAATACAAGTAATTGGAAGATGAGAAAGGACAATTGTACATTTCTCAATTATGAAATTATACCAGATTTTTCTAGTACTAAGCCTCAGAGTAACATTTACTTTACCAGGACACAGCAAATTGCAATGGTGGGAAGTGGATAATACGTTTCAAAAAGGTGGTTTCTGGTCGTTTTTGGGAAGATCTGGTAAGTGAAAGTGGTTTATCGTTGTTTATACATGCACAGATCAAACATTTCGACATTCTAGTTTTTTCTTGTAGTTTTCTTCCAGTTACATGCATGGTGTTTATTCTGGGTCCTTTTTTTGGTATGGCTCCTGAGTAGTTTGTTCTGTCTTTGGTAGTATTTCCTCATTTGTCATCTTTAATTTTTTTTTTTCAAATGGGTACCTTTTTCCTGTAAAGATAAAAAGGTCGCTACAAGATGTCTGTTTGGTATTTGATAACAACTATTTTGTAGATTGAGTTATGAAATCCAATGTTACATATAAAGCTAAAAGCGGTCCACGTAATCACAACCAGCAATTTACATGTATGGTTTAATATTCTGACCTGTTAGTTTCTAATTTAAGCTATAACATATTATATTTGAAATGTTGCACAGCATTCATGTTTGAGACAAGAAGCTTAACGACTTACCATCCTTGAATCATAGAAATAAAAAAAACTTAAGTATTAATCTTCTTAATTGGATGCTAATTGTTAACTGTATTGCGTTTCATTC